ACTCAATGGCTGGAAATCATCTCTTCTGAACTTTGAAATCAGCCTTTCATAAGTCGTCGTTACCGAGAAGTGGAAGGGCTGACGCTTTCGGCATCGAGTTAGCAACAATCTCCAAAATGACCGCGGATGAAAGAAGCGTAGTCAGACCAAGGTTCACCTTAATTTAAATTCACTTTGAAATCTTTGATTTGAAAGCAACTTGTGGAAATGCTTACTTTTTCCTCCCGATCTCCTAAAGAATTTGTTGGTATGAACAGACCAAATATGGACACCGTAGTGATGACGAATGTGGGAATCAGTAGCACCCATGTGTAGAACTGTGGACGACGTGATACGTACAGCTGAAGGAAACAGATAAGATGCCAGGCAAAGCTCGCCATCATAGATTGTGGGTAACAAAGCTCAAAAGCAAACGAAAAATGTTAGGTAAGTGATTATTGGAGGAATGCAGGAAAAACAGTCCGAAATGCCCTTTATAAAACTCCATGCCGACCCCAACTTGGATATACGTGCATGCTATGAGGAGAAGGTGTGATTGTACGAATTTCCACTCGTCGTTATCATAACGATATCAGCTCTTTTATCTTATCACCTCACTCTCACCATTCGGAATGGAGAGAGATAGCATAGTGGCTACTAGCTAGTAGCTAGCAGCCGGTGGGGTCGGCATGGGCCTAAGGGGTGCCCATGGGCCTAATTGGTCAGCTTTCAGCGGAGTTCTTGCCAATTTTCACTTTTTGAAGGTAGCGCAGCCTCTAGAATCGCCTTCCGGATCATCTGGCACATTTGAGAGGTTGTAGCCTTATTTTATCGCGGAAAGTGCCTTCAAGCAAATGTTACATGGGGTATCTGTTGCCCAAAAGGAAGTGGTCTCATTTCCTGGGACAACAGAATTACATTCAGCGACTGTTCTTTAAATAGTGAACTATACTAAAATCAAATTCGTCTCCGAGCGAGAATCCGAAGACGCGACTTCTTCCGACCCCCTCCCATACGGCTGCCACATTACGACACAAACGCCATGGAGACGGCCGCCGCTCACTACACGTGGCAGGAGGCGCAAGACTTGTCGCAAGACTATACCATGCTCATAGAAGGACTTCGACATTGCGCTATGGCATCGGCTATCACAACAAGGACGGATTCGAAGGCAGGATTGACGACAAGGCTCGCGCACTTCTACAGCAACGCGCTGTCGTCCATCGTAACCCTGCATCAACACCATTGGAGCGCGCCGTGATCAACAAAGCGTGCCGCATCGCAGTGAAGGAGTCGATTCAGCGTTACAAGAATACTCGACTGAAGGAAGCGGCGGAAGCGAGAGCGAGTCTCAAACGATGTCGTCGAGACATCAACGACTCTCGCTCGGTCACCACGGTTATACGAGACACGATGGACAGACCGCAGACATCGAGAGCGAGGATTGAAGAGATCGCCGTCAGTTTCTACACGGATCTCTACCAATAACTGTGGGAGGTGGAACACGCCTTGCGTCAAATGAAGCCAGGGGAAGGCACCAGGACCTGACCGCATCTCAGTAGACTTTCTGAAGTCGGCGTCCCGCACCGTCATAAAACAGCTCACCAGGCGCTATAACAGGTACATGGACGCGCAAGAGATCCCGGACCAGTGGAAGACGTCAAGCACGGTTCTTCTGTTCAAGAAGGGCGAGCGCGACTTAATGAAGAACTACCGCCCCATCGCCCTCCTCTCGCAGCCATACAAGTTGTTCACGAAGGTCATCCTCAACAGCCTCGAGAAACAACTGGATGACTATCAACCAGTGGAACAGGCCGGGTTTCGCAAGGGCTTCTGTTGCCATATCATACTGTTACGACTTCGGGCGAGAGTGCTTTATTTGAGCACACGACGACAATTGATAACACACCGCACAGAGGGTCTTTTATAGACCCAAGATGACCTATCACTGCATAACACAATGAATGTAAACAACCGCTCAGATTATCACTTAGGACAGTGAACTTATAAACATTGAGCGATCTACCACAACACATACCACATCCATGTTGTCACGCAGCTGATCGAGCGAACCAAGGAATACAAACAGCCGCTCCTCCTCTGCTTCATCGACTATATGAAAGCATTTGACACTGTGGAACTGAACTCAATTTGGAATGCGCTGCACCATGCTGGTGTCGACCCGTGCTACATAAACCTGCTGGAAAAATGCACCATGGACACATCTACCACCATCCGCATTTTTCAACGAGAGCTACGAGTGCCGATCGAAAAAGGAGTCAGACAAGGTGATACGATCTCTCCCAAGCTGTTCACCACCGCACTCAACCACGCGATGCTGCAACTCGACTGGGACGATAAAGGCATCAACGTCGACGGAAAGAAGCTATCTAATCTACGATTCGCAGACGACATTGTCCTTATCAGTCAGAACTCAGCAGAGCTACAGCGGATGGTGGAGGAACTGAACAACGTCGGCAAAGCTATCGGCCTCACGATGAACCGGAGCAAGACCGAGGTCATGCGCAATGAGTGGGCAGATGCGTCACCCATCACTCGAAGGCACTGCTCTACCGGATACCGACCGTTACGTTTACCTTGGTCGACTCATCTCCATGGACAACAATTTGCGCGAAGAAATTATGAGACGCAAAAAATGCGCTTGGACGGCAATGGGACGCATAAGAGAGGCGGCCCAGCTCATTTCGGACAGGAAAATACGAGCTGCTCTATTCGACTCTACAGTACTGCTTGCCTTTTGTTACGCATCTGATACGTGGGCAGAGAACAAGGCGTCTACGTTGATGTTGACACGTGCCCAACGAGCATTGGAATGGACCCTGCTGATATAACCGACCCGTGAGAAGAGATTCTGTAAATGTGCGCAGCTACGGACATGCGCTCCAATGTCGCATCTCTGATGCCGTAGTATACGCGCGGTATGCCAGAAGAACGAGATGGACCCTGGGACATTGTGCGTCAGAGCTCGAGACGATCCTGGTACTCCACACTTTGGTATCCGAGAGACGCGAAACGCAAGGTTGGCCGCCCGTTGGAAAGACTCCTTGAAACAACTCGAAGATTTTGCAGACCAACACTGGATCCAAACCGCTCAAGATCGCAAACAATGGAGGAAGTCGCGGTGTAGCCCGTTGAAGAGAACCGGGCTGAAGAACGAGCGTCCGAGTATCCAAGTAAGTAAGTAAGTAAAATCCCGCTTGAGAATATTTTACATCCAAGTAGCGCTACACACACAAACGGCTGCTCCGATTATGCGAGGATGGACCTCTGCAGCTTCCAAGCATATCTCATCCATCTTGCTCCCTTCTTCTCAGTAGTCAGGTGGCATTTACTCTGTTTGAACTCGTAATAGTGTTCCAGACATTCCCCATTCCCCAATTGTTTTCGTTCTGCTTCTTAAAGAGCCTCATTTCCAAGTGAGGACCTTCACTAGTGGCATGCGACCACGACTGTTTCAATCGCGCTACCGCGCAGTGGTCGCAACCAAATCGCTGATCTCGCAAGTTGTGAACGCTGATTCAAGGCCTTCACACTATCAGCCGCTTATCTACGCATAGAGCATTCGGATTCCTATTCTTCACAGCGAGGGATACCAGGAAGAGCTGTAACGGATCCGCAAGAACATGTTACTCTCCGCGCGTGGCGAGCGGCGGCCTTATACACAGCACGTATATGAAATGACACAACAAGCGAGACTTGTCCAACTTTTCGAACTTTGATCAGAAGTTACAGGAACCTAGGAGATCCTTCTGAAGGACCTTACTTGTTTGTAGTTAAGTTGGGCCCACTCATATGCAGGAGCATTTGCTATTTTTGGAACGCCGCGCTGTGCCATAGAAGCGTGCCATACACTTCGAATCCTTCAGATGGGAAGGACTATGGATCTTATTTCGCGCGGCGGCTGCCCCTTTGATGAGATGCTGCCGACCGCGTACACTCGCATTTATCCAGTCCTAGACAAGATGACAGTTGCCTCAAATGGAACTATCGCACAAAAAGCGCATCCTGCGCCATGGCAGCAACGCCCTCTCTATCTCTAGGATATGGAGTGTACAGCGGAATGCGCTATAGGCATGTTTTTGACTAGATTTTGAGCTAACACTTTTTAGCCACCTCGGTAGCCGTTTCGATGGTCTACTATGAAGACTCTCATTATAGCTAAGGTAAAAAGGAAAGGGATAAATACATAGCATAAAGCGATGAAATTAAGATTCTGCGTAGGACTCTCAGAGAACTTTAACTGACCTGAAATCTAGCTTCAGAGAAATGGAAATCAACATCTTTGTCACATGAGTATTTCTGTGACGCAATGAGAGACGTGAAATCCCATTCGCTGTTACCCTTAAAAGGACTGCTGTGAGAAATAAGTATGCAATATTATATATATGTTCACGTTAGGCCTGCGTTCATTAGTTTGCGGCTGCGAGTCCACTCAGACGTCCAGAAGCGTTCTGAAGCGTCTGGGCGTACGTCAGTGACTAAGAAAGTTTGGATATCGATCTGGCGTATGCCAGCGTCTGCAAGCGTCTACCACCGTCCACCATCGGACAGTACGGTAACTTCAGTAGGCGAACAATCGTACACCGTACCCCAAATGAGCCCGATAATAAATCGGGTGCGACACCAAACACAGTATCTCACGACAACAGCGTAGAAATCGCTTGGGGAAGTAGTTGTTGCGATGCTAAGGATATCCAAAGGATTAGAACTATTGCATGTGATTAGAACGATTGCATGGAGTAGTGCTCGTAAGAACTATAGGTCCGTTGGATGCTCCAATAAATCATTTTTCTATTTATAAATGTACTTGTATAATTGGGCTTTCGACTGGCACTCACCAAAATATAGTCCCTTTGGGTCAGGAATTTCTCATACAGCATTGCCGCGGATTCTTTACCAGTACAACCTGAAGGCTTCTTGCTGAACGCATTTTCCAAGATAGGAGTGCACGACTCTCGCGAATTGATTAAAATGGTGACAACAAATTAGTTTTGCACATGTTTCTCCTTCATAGTCACGCAATGCGTGCTTAATGCTTGGATCATGGCGTTTGATTATATTATTGAAAAAATGATGCCATGTTGTGCATTAGTGCCCTGCCTTCTTATCCTAAGTTCAAGCGTTGTGTTCAATTTAGCACATTTCTAGCCATTGGTTTTTGATAGCAGCTATAGCCTCCTTGTCTTTGTGTTATCAGCGCTGCCTTGCTCTTCCCATGTCGAGTTCCTTGCGTATACAGAGAATGAGATTGCCCAGTTTTTTTTGAACAAAATACAGTAGTACGAGATCCATTCTCAGCTCTGTCATCGCCACGACCATGACCCTCTCCCCCTAATCCCCGCATCACAACTCTTCGCAGGCGTGGCGTAGCTCCCAAACCCTAATGCTGTGTAAGCAAGATAAACGGTGGTATCTAATCGCCGCACCGTGTCTGCAATCCACAAAACCGCTACTGAACCGCCACAACAAGCTCTATTTTCACAGCTTCAAAAATAAGCTCGCATGATGAAACCTCAACTACTCGAGCCTTCGAGGAGCGGTGCTGAAATGAGGAGAAAAACTTCTGCATAGTGCAACAAACTTCGTTCACATAGTGTGCGAAGGCAAAAAAACTTTCGATGCAGTCCGTGTTGTTTTCAGAATATCTTAAACAATTTTATTCAATGCGATAATCAAACATAAGTCTTAACTCTGACTTAGGTTGCCGGTGACTGTGTTCATTGTAATTTCTCGTTCTCATTGAGCGTTTTCTGGGCCGAAAGGAACGTTAGCTATCGACCTAGGGTTTTGAAACTTATCAGCAGAATGCTAGCGTTTTGAGCAAAAACTATAGTGTATGTGTCGATGCCAGATCGATATCCATGTTATTCTTCTCGCCAAAACGTCCAAAAAATATGTTCGTACGATAGCAACCACAACACATACGTGCATTGTGCATGCAACTGCATAGTTCTGTGCTTTAGTAAAGTTGCTACGTAAGTGCGGTTATCACGCCGTAATTCCAACGACGCCTAATCCCGCGCTTCAGAGCACCAGCGTTCGATGGGGATTCCCTAATGGTGGGGAGGTCGTATTTTGCCGCCAAAAGGGGGGGTCGTATTTGGGCTGGGAAAAATTTATTTTTATAGTTGATTTTTCTCGCTTTGCGGACGTTTTGGAGGGGGGGGGTCGTATTTCTGGCTAGGAGTTACGTGGTTCACTTCATGGTTTTATGAAGTGAACCACGTACCCCCCGCTCGACAACTTTTTCGCCGAGTATAAACCACAACCACAGTCAGCCATGTCAGCCATCGTACGAGCATGGGGGGGGGTCGTACCAGCCCCTGAAGGGGGGGGGTCGTAAAAGCTCGACCAAAATCCCCATCGAATGCTGTGCCCTGAGCGGCTTGCTACCCTCCTACTTCCCCATATCTACTATCGGTCGCTGGTGGACGCTGGTAGACGCGATCAAAATCTATACTTTTCTAGGCGCTGACGCTGTCGGACGCCCGGAATGCTAGTGGACGCTCGTAGACGCTAGTGGACTGCCGCAGAATATAAGCGCAACCTAAGGAAACTTTCAACTCATTTACCATCTACAAAAAGACAATTACCTGGAAGGAAGGGCGCGGGCTTTCAATGCTGTCTCCTGGAGTAGTATGTACCTCTTCGTCAGTGTAGGACCACGGACCAATATCGATCGTACATACTTGAGAGTCGTAGGGAAATTCGTTGACCCAAAATGATCAGCTTTTATAAATGATTGAATAGCCAAGCAGAAAACTCTTACAGACTTTCATATTGCAGAGATTTGTGTAGACAGCATAAATACTTTGCCTCACA